GGTTCTGCAGTGTTCAAGCTCCATTACTCCTTCTTTTACCAGCTCTCTTAGGAAATGAAACCGAACATCTATGTGTTTGCTCCTCCCATGCAGAACTGGATTTTTGGCCAGTTTGATGGTGGAGTTGTTGTCACACATGATGACTGTTCCAGCCTGTATACTGCTGTTCCATCCCATTTCTGCTAGAATCCTTCTCATCCAGATGCATTGTGTGGCACAAAAACAAGCTGCAACGAACTCAGCCTCAGTTGTTGAGAGAGTTACAACTGGTTGCTTCTTGGAAGCCCATGACACTGCTGCTCCTGCAAGAAAGAAAACATAGCCAGAGGTACTTTTTCTATCATCACAGTCTCCTGCATAATCTGAGTCTGTGTAACCAACCAGACTTTCATCCTCCTCCCCTCTACTCCTTCTGTACCAGATTCCATGATTCATAGTGCCTTTTAGGTACCTAAGTACCCTTTTTGCTGCCAAGAGATGCTGCCTGGTAGGTGAGTCCATGTACCTGCTCAACAAACATACAGAATACATTATGTCTGGCCTCGTTGCTGTGACATACAGCAAGCTTCCTATCAGTCTCTTGTATTCAGTGGGATTGACAGCAACTCCATCTCCAGTTCTTGTTAATTTCAACCCTGGTGCTAGAGGGTTGAGTGCATAGTTGCACTCCAGCAGCTTAAATTTTTCCAGAAGCTCCTTTATGTACTTTGTTTGACAGATAAATATCCCTTCATCCTTCTGAAGCACCTCCACACCAAGAAAGTATCTCATTCTGCCTAGATCTGTCATCTCAAATTCAGCTTGCATAGATGACTTGAAGTTCTCAATCATTACTGGACTGTTACTTGCATACATCAAATCATCTACATAGAGACTGAGAATGAGAATATCAGATCCTGACCTCTTAATGAACAATGTATGTTCATAGTTGCATTTCTTGAAACCAGTCTTCTCAAAGTATGCTTCAATCCTGCTGTACCAAGCTCTTGGTGCCTGCTTGAGGCCATACAGAGCTTTATGCAGCCTGTATACTTTCTTTTCCTCCCCAGCAACCTCAAAGCCTTGAGGTTGCTCAACATAGATCTCTTCTGTAAGCTCTCCATGCAGGAAAGCACTCTTCACATCCAGCTGGTGCACTGTTAATCCAAAATGAGCTGATAAGGCCAGAAGAGTCCTGATGGTATCCCACCTGGCTACTGGGGCAAACACCTCAGTGTAGTCAATTCCCTCTTTCTGTGAATATCCTTTCACCACTAAACGAGCTTTGAACTTGTCTAGGGTACCATCTTCTTTAAGTTTGGTCCTGTAAACCCACTTGAGTCCTATTGCTTGACAGCCTGCTGGCAGATCAGTGAGCTCCCAGGTAAGATTCTTCTTTATTGACTGCATTTCAGCCTTCATTGCTTCTTCCCATCTAGGATCCTTGCAGGCTTCCTCATAAGATTGTGGATCATCAGCTAGGGCCACAAAGGCCATCCAATCTTCTTCTGGTAGTTTGCAATCTGGCATAGTGAAGTGAGTTTGCCAGTCATAGCTTGCCAGTTTGGCTGGTGGCTTTCTGATCCTTTTGGTACTGGCATGTCCCAGCACATCAGTTGTTGTACCATGATCCTCCTCTTCTGCTTCCTTGTCACTTATTTCTGGATTTGGTGTTTTTGGACTACCAGGTTGTTGAGTTCCAGCAGGATCAGGATCTGAGTCTGCAGTTTGATCAGATTCCTCTTCTGCATCTGAATCTTCCCAATCCTCATCACTTCCTTCCCAAACCAACTTGGTTTGCTCTGGTGGTGTGTCTAAATTCCAACTCCAGCCTTTTGTTTCATCAAACACCACATCTCTACTCACTACCACAGCATTAGTTCTAGGATTAAACAATTTATAGGCCTTGGACTCAACAGAAATTCCTAGAAACTGGAATTTCACACTCTTATCATCAAGCTTCCTCCTGTGTTGATCTGGTATGTGAGCATATGCAACACAACCAAAGATCTTAAAGTGAGACACAGAAGGAGGCTTACCAGTCCAGAGCTCTTGAGGGGTTTTTCCTTGATTTGCTGTAGTGGGACTTCTGTTTAGCACATGACAAGTCCAGGCTACTGCTTCAGCCCAGAATTCAGATGGAACCCTCATGTCCTTCAACATGCATCGAACCATGTTCATCAAAGTCCTGTTCCTTCTTTCTGCTACTCCATTTTGCTGAGGAGTAAAAGCAGCAGTGAGTTGCCTCTTTATTCCAGCTTCCTCACAGAGCTGCTTGAGTTCATTCAGCATAAACTCACCACCCCTATCAGTTCTTAGGCACTTAATTTCCAACTTCATTTCCTTCTCAACTTGCAGCTTATATTTTTTGAAACTTTCCAAGGTATCTGACTTAGCTGCCAAGAAAACCACCCACATTTTCCTACTGTAATCATCAATCAAAGTGAGTATGTACCTCTTTCCTCCATTTGATACTGGAGTGATGGGACCACAGAGGTCTGCATGTACTAGCTGCAGTGCTTCAGTTGCTCTCCATTGACTTTTCTTAGGAAAGGGTTTTCGATGTTGCTTGCCAATCATGCAGGTTTCACAAACTCCAATCCCTCCTTTCAACTTTGGCAGATCCTTCACCAGCTTCTTTGTTTGCAGAAGCTGCAAGTTTGCTACTCCCAAGTGACCAAATCTGCGATGCCATAGTGTGAGGGTTGGATCTATGGCAACATCAGTTTTGAGACATTGGGATAACTGACTTGCAGGTGTATGATCAGCATGAAGAACAAACATCCTGTTTGTTTTCATTTCAGTCTGCAACAACAGACCCTTTTCTGCATGATAAATCTTGCAACTGCCTTCTTTGATCACAAAAGTTAGCCCTTTCTCCTGCCATTGACCAATACTCAATAGATTACTCTTGAGTCCAGGAACATAGAATACCTCCTGGATTGTTATACTCTTTTGATTCACTTGCATCTTCACTTCTCCTTTCCCAGCAACTTCTAACTTGGAATTATTTCCCAGTCTAACTGTGCAAGCAAAACTAGCATCTATGCTAGTAAACCACTTTCTGTCACCACTCATGTGGTTGCTGCAGCCAGAATCCAGAAACCACCAATCACTGTTTGACTTCTCTTTGACAGAATCCAGAAGAGCCATCAATCCTTGTGTATCCTCTTCCCACTCAAATGAGTCTTCAGAATCTACACAGGCCATTAACAGCATGTCCTCATTCATGTCTCCATAACTCTTATCTTGAATGCTACCAGAGGCTGCATAATGTGCCTGTTGATTGGAATACCACTCAGGGCACTCATATTTGAAATGCCCCAGTTTATGGCATTTGAAACACTCAACAGATTCCTTATTCCAGCCTCTGCCTCCTCTTCCTCTACCACCTCTGCCCTGGTAAAAGCCTCTTCCCTGACCTCTGCCACCTCTCCCATACTCATGAGAGATTCTTAAAGCATGTTCTTCTTCACCAGCAGTTTTTGCAGACCTTCTGTTGAACTTTTGTTCATGCACCAGAAGAGAACTTTGGAGTGCATCAACTGTCAAGAGTTCTGTCTTTGGACTCTTCTATAGAACAAACTACATAGTTGAATTTGTCAGTCAAGGTTCTAAGAATTTTTTCAACAACCTTCCCATCAGACATATCCTCTCCACAGTTTCTCATAGTGTTAGCAACAATCATCACCCTAGCAAAGTACTCAGACACTGATTCATCCTCTTTCATTTCAAGCAGTTCAAAGTTCCTTCTGAGTACCTGTAACTGAGCTTTTTGAACCCTTGCACTGCCCTGAAACTTCTCTTTCATGGACTCCCACAGTTCTCTTGCAGTACCCTTCTTGGCAATGGTCTTCAGCAGTGTTCTGTCAATGCTGCTGAACAGGTAGTTCTTTGCTTTTAGATCTTTCAGCCTCAACTCCTCCAGATTCTTTGTTTGGGCTGCTGTTAACACCTCTCCTGCTGCAGGCTCCCTGAAACCAGGACTGATCACAGTCCAGTACTCTTTGGACCTGAGCAAGTTCTCCATTACCAAGGTCCAGTGCTCATAATCCCCATCAAACTTTGGGATACAAACTTGAGCAGTGCTGCCATTATCACTCATGATGCCTTTTTTCACTCACCCTGATCTGTCTTTCCTCACAAGCAACTCTCGTGTTTCCCTAACCCAGATCACAACATGTTTTTCACTCAACACTCCTCTCTTCTCCTGGTTACAGTTTGCTGTAAGTGCTCTGATACCACAATGTAGAACACAAATCTATTGCAAACTGACAGTTTCTTATTAATGACGATGCAAAGCTTAAATACTTGAGGTTTAAGCCACAGAGATCGGCCAAACCACCTCCCACTACTAATAGTTTCCTACTAATCAGCTAACATGATCAATACTAACTGCTAAGACTCTTAACAAACCAAACAGACTGTTCGACCCAGACTCAAAACAATAAGTACTAAATGGACACTTAGCCAAAACGCACAGCTTGGCTTTATTCACAGACTTGACTCCAAACCGACGTCGCAGCAACTAACAGCAGCAGCAGTCTTCTAGTCCAGAACCAAAACGACATCACAGCAACTAATCCAAATCCGAGAAGGACAAGGATTCCAGTCTTCAGTTCACAATCCAACAAATGGCGCTTTAATTTTTAACCGGTGATCGTTATCTTGATAACTAACCCCATTTGTCCTTCCATATTACATTCTCAAAACACATACAACACAAGAAGTTAAAGAGAAAAGAACAGTTGGCGCTCACTACAACGACGTTGTGGTGTTGCCGCCCTATGCCGGTTGTCCGATCGATCACGACAAGGTTCTCGATAATTTCAACGGAGTGCGACATGAGCAACGAAGAGAGAAGGTTCTGAAATTTACAGTAGTACCTAACTGCTATAAAACGCAACCCTGCTGAATTGAAGTTCATCGTTCCCACAATAGCACATATCTACGTACCCACCCATCTTCTCCTTTCCTTAGCTTATTTTCTTTCGCTAGCTAGCTAGCTCATTGTTATGGACATGGCCACTTTTTCGAGCAAGAACAAGGAGATGATGGTGTCGATGATCGCCGCCGTCGCCGTTTTGGCAGTTTTGGCTCCCACGATGGTTTCGGCGAAACAATACGTGGTTGGTGATGACAAGGGCTGGACCAAGGATTTTGATTACACCACTTGGACCGCCGGCAAGCAATTCTTCGTCGGTGACTCTCTAGGTAATTAAGCATGCAGAAATATTACTATTATTTCATACACATAAAATGAAATATGATGATTTTATTTGCGTGAATAAAAAATACTTGTAAGTCGTAACTATGTAAAAGAAAGAAAGAATGCTACACATTACATGCATGTTGATTATTCGACGTGAGTACAAATATCGTAGTGCTTAAATTTATTTCCGGAGCAAGATATTTCATCAAATGATGATTATTGGGATTGGTTCGTGCAGTTTTCAACTACGCACAAGGGGGCCACAACGTGTTCAAAGTCAACGGCACAGATTTCATGCAGTGCTCCAAGCCACTCGTTGGCGCTCCACTTACCACTGGCAGCGACGAGATTCCGCTCAAAACCACGGGGAGGAAATGGTACATCTGTGGAGTCGCCGGCCACTGCGCCTCCGGTCAGAAGCTGGTAATCACCGTCTCCGACGGATCTGCGGCTCCGGCACCGACGCCGACCTCGCCATCAACCGGCGCCGTCTCTAGGAGCATCATCAATGCTGGGTTTGCTGCTGCCATGGTCGTCGTAGGCTTTTTCGGGGTGGTCATGTTCTGATCGAATTGAGTTGCGTGTTTGGGAGTGAGACTAATATATAACAATTGAATTAAATGAATTGTGCTGTTGTAAAATCTGAACTTAAATTAGAATTAAAGGCTGTCTACTAGTTCGGAGTTTGGATTTTCGTATTTGAGCTTTATTGTTCTTGTCATATTTGATTCACATTCTTTTTATCTACATTACTGTAACAATTACGATTATATATGTCATCTTGGATTACCAAAAGGAAATAAATATATATGTTCTTTATGAGCTTTGGATTCTATAATTAAAATATAACCAACACCACCATTATGCTATTAACTAAATGCATGACATGTGTTGATGCCCTCTCGATCTACCGTCTCTTCTTCCGTACCAGCTGACTCTCTCCCAATGAAGCCTGCACTCACAGAGGTGGGCCTTGTGGCCCGTTAGTCCTCCAACGCTCAAGTCAGTATCCTTCTTAGAGAGAGAAGTGCTGGTCATGCACAATTTTTAGTGAGAGAAGCCAAATTGAGTAAATGCTTACCCTCCTCGCTATTTATAGCCGATCATTGCTTACCTGGACCTTATCGTACGGACTTCCACGTCAGCCCTACCTTTAGTGCGGGTGACTCGGGGCGCTTCCTCCAAAGGAGATTCCCGGCGCCCTCTCTAAATACACAATTCCCACGTGCACACCCAGGCCCCTCCGGTGCGAGTACCCCTAGGCGCCTAGTGTATGCAACTTCCAACGTGCCCTTGATCCAAGCCCGAAGGCGCCTATCATGGCCCACCCCATATTGACTGGGCTCACCTTTCCCCGAACTACTTAGGCTTCGTGCTCTTAACTGGGCCTCACCCATACATCGAGGCCTCCTTATTCGTATACCCCCAACAATTGCCCCCCAGTTAGGTGCTCAAATTTGGATTCTTTGAGCGCCTAACTATTAGACTTGCTCTTTTCTTTTCCAACCTTTCTCACGGCCGTCGTTTGCCCCCCAATCATTGGGCCCCCAATCGTCTCTCCTCGGGGCGCACGGTATTTGGCTTCCCTGTTTCTTAAGCAGCCCCCCCCCCCCTACGCGCCTAGGCGCATTGCGCTATCATTTGTTCCTTCCTCAAGGCGCCCACGCCTGCTTACAGTTGATTGTCAGGCGCCTTTTCTTATCCGGGTGCATTAATATCTCTCCTCACCTCCCTCGCCTTGTGCCCTAGCCTTCCGGACAAGCCAAAGCGCCGCTCTTCTTCTTCAATACAAGGCGCCCCACCTCGATTCGCCTATTGCCCGGCCGCCATTATACCCACGCGCTTCTGTCAAAGGCGCCGTCGTTCTCCCTTGACCGAAGGCGCCCCTCGGTTTCGCCCATTGCCCGGTCGCCGCTGCGCCTAGGCTGCCTCGATTTCGCCCGTTGCCCGGTCGCCGCTGCGCCCGAACTGCCTCCTGACCCACGCGTCTCTGTCAAAGGCGCTGCCATTCTCCCTCGACGAAGGCGTCCTATTTCTTCCCTTGACGTCAGGCGCCCCCCGATTTCGTCCGTTGCCCGGTCGCCGCTGCGCCTAGGCTGCCTCACTCCTGCCCCCCTTCACAACCGGCGCGATATTCGAGGTGGTTGTGAATTTTGCCACGTGGTAGTTGGCACGATATTCGAGGCGCTCCCGTTTTCTTTAAATGTAAGTCGAGTCTTAGCATGGTTCTTCACTCGCCCTCAATTTGCCTTCTCACTCTAGCTTCTCTCTGCTTTGCCTCGCTCCCTTTTTTAGCGTTCGACTTTCCTCGCCACGATGTCTCTCCCCTCCGACGCTGCCGCCACCGCCGCGGGCTCCTCTCAAAATCAAGGCGGCCCCTCCAAGACCGGTAAGCCTCTCTCTTCTTTTTTTTTTTTTTTTTTTTTTTTGCGCGAATGTTTGTGTATTGTTGCGATGGAGGCGCCTCTTACTGCTCCAATCGGTTGTGCGCCTACTTGACTTGTTTTAGTGGAGGCGCCCGCATTGTCACCCATTCCGACGCCTTCCTCGAACTACGACGTGCCGGACGATGGGTCGTACAAGATTACTACTTGGGAAGGCACCTGGCCGCCAGAGTATGCGCCCTGGGAGACTACATGTTTGCCGACGAATGTGGCAGGGCCTGAACATAACTCCACCATCTCGGCGCCTTGGATGAAGAGCCTGATCGATGGGCTCGGGCTCCCCCGCACCTGGACGTATGCGCCTCCGTCGCCCATGGCCAGGGTGGGGTTGTGCGGGCCTCGTTGGTTGGGAATATATCAGGAGTATTTCCGGTTCGGGCTCCGATTTCCCATAGATCCAATATTGGAGGGTATCCTGGAGTATTGCGAATGCACAATCGGGCGCCTATCCCCGTCCGTGATACTTATTGTTGTGCTCTTCAAGCTGAAGTGCCGAATTCATCATGTGCGCCCAACCTTCAACCTATTCCGCCACTTTTTCTCAGTGATTTCTCGGGACAACTGTCTGTCCTTAAAGCGGCGGAAGAAATTGAAGGCCCATTTCGTGACGAAGTGCCCTAAATTGGGGCGCACGTGGTTCAACGGGTTCTTCTTTATAAAGGCGCATAGGGACTATTTCTTTGAAAGCGGAGGCGCCTTTAGGACCGACTGGGAGCTTGGTATTGAGGCGCGCTTCAACGCTACCGTTGTCCTAAGTCGCGAAGAGCGAGCCGGGGCCGCCCTAATAAGCGCCTCGCCTGTCAACTTGCGCCCCACTGAAGCGCGGGCGCCTATTTTAGAAGAATACTATGCGGATGGTGTGTTGATTGCCTTTTTTGCCCTTGGCATTTTCTTTTGGGCGCCTTAGCTAACCCTTGGTTTTGCTTGCAGGTACGAGGTTTGGGCGCATTGCTGACTTGATTAAGAGTCGGTATGAAAGGATGACTTTGGAGGAGCCTCGACAAGGAGGGTCGAACCTGGGGGAGTCTTCCCCTGCCTCTGTCTCTACTCCACAACCTCTGGTGGCGCCTATGGATAAAGGGAAGGAGAAGGCGCCCGGGGAGAAGATAACCGGGGCATCGAGTGGGGCGTCCACACCCTTGGGCGCGGATGGCATGAAAGACCACGTCGTGATTGAGGACATGGATGATCAAGAGGATGAAGTGCCCTTGATCAGTCGTGGGAAGAGAGGAGGCGCCCCACTGTCCCCACCAGCAAAGCGGCATAGAGCCAACCAAGGAGAGGGAGGCGCCTCCAGTCAAGGCGATGCCCATCCCCAACGGTATGCCATTGTGGAAGGGCGCCTATTGGGGCCCGATGGAAGGCCCCCCATGATTCAACCCAGGCGCACCGATTTGGAGCGGGTGGCCTTGTCGTGCTCTCCACGAGCAGCGGTGGATCGCGGCTGCGCCATGGGCCTGGCCCTTTCGGCGTCGCAAGTTCTGCAGGTGCCCTCCGCGATCTCGGAGGATCGCCCATGGGCTGAAGTCGCCCGAATGGGAGTCAAGGTACGCCCTCATAGACGCCTTCACTTTTCTTGCACGTGTTTCACATTGTTTAAGCGCCTATTTTTTGTTTGCTTGGGCGCCCCTATTTGACTTGCACTTTTTCACATTGCTTGCTTGGGCGTCTTGCAGATGCTCCTTCTTGCCGAGGCAGGCGCCCGGAAGACAGACCAGGCGATTGAGGAGTGCCGCGAGGCCCGGTCGTCTTTGTCCTCCATGAAGGACAACCTTGACACCGTAACCATGCGCCGCGAGCAACTTGTTAAAGAGTGCGAGGAGGCGCAATTGGAAGCGGCAAAGCAGATTTCGGCGCTTCAAAGCACTCTAGAGGAGGAGCGCCGCCAACGGGACGCCGACTTTGCTACCCGTATGGAGGAAGAGCGCCGAGACTTTGAGCAAAGGCTAGGCGCCTTGACCGCGGAGAAGGAGGCCCTTACCCTAGATCTGGGCGCCCGCGACGCCGAGCTTGCGACATTGAAGGAGGAGAAAGGCACCCTCCAGGACGAGGTAAAGGCGGCCGCCTACCGCCGCAGGGATTACAAGAAGGCGCTCAAGAGTGTGCGGGGGGAAAAAAGGTCTCTCAAGGCGGCGCTTAAGAATTTTCCCAATTCTGAGGCAGGGCAAGACCTAATTGCCAAGGCGTCCCTTGATAGCTTGGTGCTTGTCAAGAGGAAGCTCGACCAGGAGTACCCCGACATCACCGTCAACTTCCCTGACCTTGTGAATTTTGTCATTGAGGAGATGCAAAAGGAGCAAGAGGAAGATGCGGCGCCTGCAGGAGAGAGGGGGGCGCCTTCGTCACCAGAGAGTGAGTCGTCCATGAGTGACTCCTCGGAGGCCGAGTAGTGAGGGCGCGCCTCTTTTGTGGCATGTATTATTGTTTTCTTTGGACGTTTGCCAACTTGTCTTGTTTTCTTTCACTTTTGCTTGGGCGTATGCCCTTTGCGCCTTGCCAACTTTCTGTTCGCCTTTGGACGCTTACTGTGCTCCCAACTCTTTTTAGGGCGCGTTATATCTCGGGGCGCTTATCGTTTTTATTGCACTTATCATTTTCATACTCTCATCGGGCGCATTATTTTATGGGGCGCTTTATTCTCATGGGCGCGTATTTGTGGGCGCTTTATTTTCTTGGGCGCGTATTTTATTGGGCGCTTTATTCTCATGGGCGCGTATTTGTGGGCGCTTTATTTTCTTGGGCACAAATGTATGGGTGCTTTACTAAGTGGGCGCAAAGTCTTACGGGCGCGTTCGTTCCGGGCACATATTTCACGGGTGCTTTACAATTGTGGGCGCATTTCTTACTCGGGCGCATTAGTGGAGAGGGAATCAATCTTGGGAGTTTTTTCATAAACACAAACACAGGCGCCATAACACGGCGAGCGCTTTGATTACACGACACGAGGCGCTGAACACAACAAGCGCTTTTGATTACACAGCACTACATACTCCCGCAGGCGTTTCCCTTTTGCTCATACTGAAGCCTCCTTGCCCCCCAGTTGGGCACAATACGCACGCAAGTTCTGCGCGTTCCATGTTCTCTTCACTGGCTTCCCATTCAGATGTTCCAACTTGAACGTAG